AACCGACTGATGGGCCAAGCCGTGGTCTGTTCGAGCTGATCTGACGTCGGAATTTGATCGATGCACTTATCGCCGTCCGCTCGGACACTGGCTAGATGACCAAATGCACAGTGGTCATTTTGATCGTTGCATCTCTTCGTTGACTGCAGTCGTGACGGTGGTTTCTGGAAACGAAACTTACCCTCATCAAGTACAAATTCTAGTGCGAGAGTTCAAAGACTTTGCTCGCGTGGTCCTTTGCGCTCATTTCATCATGTCTTCAACTGCTATTTTTACCTGTCCGCCAATCATCGTGTTTCCCCATCGAATTTTTTGTGTCTAGACCGATTCTATTTGTGCTAATTATATCTGTATAATGTAATTATTATTTTCATGTTATTACATTTTGATTCCAGACGAAAACTGGCGATTTACAATATTTTTCCCGTCATTTGGTTAAGGTTCATTTCGCTTATTGTTTTTTCAGCTAAAAAATTCTTACTTATTCTTATGGTAGTTCGTTGCTGTTGTTATCGTGTTCGTTTTCTGGTAATGCGGCCAATGTGTACAGAGGCAGGGTACAAACAAGTGGTCATCCGCTCGCACTGCAGGTGCCATTTTTCCAACATCCATTCAATCGTCCAGTCACAGCTATAAACGATATCACATTATTATATATATCATGGACTGGCTTTTCAAGGTTGATTGCAATTGCTCCCCGTAGCTGCTGCCTTACACCAATACTGAGCATTACATTACCATAAGCATATACTTTTGGTTTCATGGATAAGAGCAAGTAAATATCAAAAAATGATCCGACCTGATTAGTCGGAAGGCACAACTATTGTCATGTCGTAACACCTATCGGAACACAATTAGTGCCACCTAAAACGTCATAGTCCTCTTCAAAAACACTGCTCAGTAAAATGGGACTATGGATGTGCAGATGCTTATATATCATGGTCCATTGGCCTGTTTAAATTGGCCTTTAAGTAATTAGGACCAACAGGTCTGTACAGTACGCAGTAAATTCTGGTTTTTAGCAATTAATCGATTACTGTGCATTGCAATTTTAATGTTCAATGCATATTGTAATACTTATAAAATGAGCTAATTTTTTTACTACCAATGAAAGTAAAATACTTTCATATTCGTTTAGTTATAAGAGAAATGAACCGTTCCATTGATTCTAGAGGCGTAGGGGGTTGATTTTAACATCCCGCCCCCGATAACTGTTTGTTGCATTACGGCGTAAAGCAACGGAAATGCAATTATCATTGAAGCTGTATGAAAGATTATGACAACCAACAAAAGTGAATGGTTGG